TAAATGATCATTTAATAGAGAAACTCACAAAACAGCCCTTTAACTTACATATTCCATCATGTTATTCGTTTCACATTTCCTTTTGCTCAGTCTCCAATGCAAGCACAGCTAGACAAGGAGGAAAGAAAAAGAAGAAAAATGAGCTGTATTTTATTGCAGCACACAGACTAGCCCATTTGTCCACCTTTCATATTTTTCGTTCAACAAAAGCATCTGTTTCCATACTGTGCAATTCAGACTCCAACAGTACGAAGCTGCTCCCTGCGGCACTCACCTTGTGGTATAACCTATTGTTTTCCCATTCTAATAACTTCTCAATCGATCTTCGTGTCTGGAAGACAAATGAGAAAGAATTTTACTCTTGACTGGTTTTAGAAAAACTTTGTTTTGCAGCTGCTTTTGTGTGAAAAGGGGAGAGGTATAGGACAGTGACTGAGTACAGGGTGGTCTGCAATACTATCAAAACTTCTGTAGTATTAAACAGTAACTAGAGCAGAAATGACCCTTTTTAAAAAGTAAAAAGACAATGTGAAAAAAGCATTACAACTTTTGAGCACAATGGTTCATACATATGTTTTAATTGCTTGGACTTAAAAATGTCTTCTAAGAGTACTCAACAGCAATTTTCAGACAATGTTTAAGTCTCAGTAAGAATGTGAATATACTCCTTCCAAAACATCACTATTTGAACAGCTGAAAGATGCTGTAAACTTTATTTTGTAATGTAAGAGATCAAAATATAAATATCTAATATTCTATCTAACCAACACCTTAAAGAAAATCTTTTATATCTTTAGCTCTGAAAACTAGCCAGGAAAATCCAAATACAGAAAGTTAAGATGGTAACTTGCACAAATGCTAAGTGGTTAAAAAAAAAAATCTATGATTTACACAAAAATGCAGTGCAATACCAATATTTCAGATTCTGAAAATGTGGATATCTGTGCTTTTACATTTGACATTTCATGCAAAGAATTCTGATATTTTGAAATCTAAACCTTGATAAATCTTTACAACTGAAATTTTGCATCTATGCAATTCTAATAACTTCTCAATCAATCTTCATGTATGCAAAATGTAATGAAAAACAGCGATCTTTTTGAAGTACAGCTTCACGCCTACAGATATTTTGAGTATCTGAGTATAATAATTTAGTTATACTTACATTTTAGAAATGTACTCTGACATTTATGGTCATTTGACTGCCGCAATGTATACTGCTCAGCCCTTAATGGGATTTGCTAGCAAGTACGAATAAAAGAGGATAATTCATGATGCCAGGTGTTAAGATGAGACCAACAGAGCTGCAGGTGCAAAAGGACGCAGTACTGACAAGGATCAACTGCAACTTAGTGCAGCTGCAGCTTCCTTACAAAGCAATGGGGATGAAGTGGGAAGCATCTTGCTGTTATTATTGCAAAATAACAGAGGTAGTATAAACAAACACTAACAATCACAAACTAGAAATCTGTGTGTCAAGCAAGTATGAGCTGAATAAAATAAAAATTAAACAACTGTTTTCAAATGATTGGCTTGGCATTTCAAATGCAAAATGTTAATATTTATTTAAAGTCAGCTACTTGCTCCCTAGTTACCATACAATCTTTCAACATCAAACATGTTTAAGCCTGAACTATGGTCATATGATTAAAAATAAATTAATTATAATCTATGAATAATCATTATTGGGTTGTGTTTCTACTACATTATATTTTAAAAGCAGACATTACAAGAAGAGGTGGCTTTGTCAGTGACTAAATTTATTTAATCAGTTTTTGGAATTCAGGGTTTCTTTTTGTTTATTATTAATTATTATTATTATTATAACGAGTACTATTTTTTAAGACAGTGTCCTTTAACTATGATCAGCAGACCTAACTTGTTTCTTTGTAAAGATAGCCTTTTAGAGTCTGCTCTCCTTTTAAATGAAAATAGGGCAGCAGTTATGGTCACACTTTTGTTAATTTAGTTGCCAGTCAGCTCCAAATCAAAAGAAAATAAGGCTGCAGAGTGTAATTAACATTCAGTTCAGTCGTTTTGTCCCTTGTCTAGCCCCCAAGCTTTGTTAAAATTGCCATCTGAATGCTGAAGGCTGTAGGGAAATCGATTTGATTCTAATCGCACCATGAAAAGAACATGATCTAACTGCTTTCAGCCCTCCGTAAATCTGTACTAGGTCTTTAGCACAATGCAACTTCCAATTTAAAAAGCACTGAATGTCTCGTCAATGACTTTGTGAAGAAAAAAGAACAAGGAGCAGACATAAAAATTCCAATAGTTGTTTAAGCATTAAAGTTCATTTGCATCACAGCAAACCTGAAAAGGGCTGACCTCTCAAACCGCCTCTCAGGTCTATGAAGTTGTAGCCTTGACAAGCTCACATTGACAGAGCTCATTGACTCTGAAAGGCTACTCTATCAATGGTGAAAAATGGCAATAGGTTCTACTCTGAGCAGGCATCTGCCTGCCCACCCGCTGCTAAACCAATGGCAAAACTGATTCAAAACCTGAATCTACCTTGTAATCTTCCTTTCCCGGACCTTTTAATAATAGATTAAGATCACAATACAATTTAATTTTACTACTTGCCTGAAAAAGAGTGGAACAAACATTCAAGCTTTCCAAATTCCAATAAAATTGTACACGTACACATGTGCGCATACACACACACATATAGATAGATAGTGTACTATACAAGGCATATAATACATACACACAAGAAACTGAGCATAGAATATTAAAATCTTGCACACAGAATGGACCAAAAGTACTTTCCATAAAATATTTTAAAATCCTTCATTACAGTAAAAATATCACCACAAATATTAAACCTGTTAGACTAGTGGCATAGGTTTAATCAATTTATTTAAAAACTAATCTATTGTCTCCAATTAAAACTACTCTAACTAATACACTTTTGACTATATAACATTTGATAACATTATAATATACAGTTGGTCTTGCTCACTTATGTAAAACTGCTACTATAATACTTTATATCCTCCTGTAAATATGCCTTGTGAGATTTAAAATTCGTAAACCAACACTGAATTACAGCTATAAAAATGTGAATGAAAATTTAAATGTAAAACATTACTGCAAACTCCACAGCTCAGGGAACAAGAAGTGAATTAAACAGCATCACACAATTGTCTATAGCAAGTCTTCTTTCCTACTTGACAGGTGAAAAAAAGCACTTGCACGTGCAGCTTAATTAATCACTACACTTGACATCTCAATGATTTACAGTGAGGAGCAGGTGAGGACATACAAAACCAGAAAGGAACCCTTGATTTGAGTGTAACATTTCCAGCATACTGGGATGACAAGCACATAGATCCTATCAATGGTGTACAGAAAACCCATACTGCAAATTATTTGTTAGTAGCAACAAAAGCACAAATTAAGTGGAAGAAGGCTTTAGTTATTAGGAAGATTTCATACTGTCCCCATTAAAAAAAAATTAAAATCAATATTGCAACAAAACTAAACTACCAATTCATGTTGATTTTAATTTTTTTAAAAAAATTGTTGAAGGACAGACAGATGATGTGACAAATCAGAAGACCTTTACCCTCCATTAAAAAAAAAAGTGGCATAACAAATTCATCTTCAAATAACTGGCTGGATGTAGAATTTAAGGAGACATTTCAGTAAAATGAAACCACAGCATCTTAAATTCTTACATGCAGTTAGTTGACTCAGCTTCTAAAATGTGCATGTTTAATGGCCTCCTTTGAAAAATTATTCCGCCAACCACCAGGAAATCCAAATCCAAAATAAACAAACACTTTCAGCCTGATATTGCTCTCATTTAAGTCAATGGGAGTTTTGCCATTGTCTGCAAAGGGAGCAAAGTTGAGTCCTTTAGCTAAAATGCTATGTTGCGTTTCTTTAGTTATTTAATTTGTGAGGTTTTTCAGGTGCGATATGAGTGTGACAAGTCATTATCAGCCACCAATTAAGTGTTATCTATCAAAATTACATAGACTGTAAGATCTTTCTGTTATATGAGGCGACAACCTGCTTCTTCCTGGGCATGTACCTTATTCAACACTGGTGTTTCTGGATCATCAGAATAGCCCTTTTACCCTCTAATCTTCCTCTTGTCAGTGATTCTGGCTGCTTTTCATAATTCTATGTTACTGAAGATCTCTTCAAAACCCACCGATTGACTATGCCTCCAACTACTGGGTTTGAAAAACCACTAAACTTATTTAACCAGAACAAACATAACATACATAACAGTTGGATTCAGTAACCCTTCAACTTCTTACTCCACTAGGGAAAGCAATCTTGTAAAACCTCCGCAGTGCTTCCCTTGCTGATCACAATCTATATCCCCCTCTCCTCAGGAGCCAAACAATGATCTTTCAAATTCAAACCCCTTAAATTCCAAATGATCAGTCTGAGTGGAGCTTCCATCCACGAGTCCAAGCCTCTGTGTCTCTGTGGAATAAAGACAGAAAAGAACACAACATACCCCATTCTACAATTTTGTTTAACACTTATCCTATAACCTCTCGTATCATTCAATTTCAAGTTAACCTACTCCCTTCTCCACACACGTTTACAGCATCTAGCTGAATGTGGACCCAATTCTTGATGGAGGCCTCTAGGTGTTACTGCAATGCAAATATTAAATTATAATAACCTGGCACCCATCATGTTATTTGAGTACCTCCCTATACTTTAAGGTGTGGATTCCTAAGGATCAGTTATATTACATTTTTGTAAATATTTAGAGGACTGTATTGTTCATAAATGGTAACAGTGACAGTCCTTGAGAATGAAGTCCTCTATTCAACAAACAGAACAGGGACAAGGCCAGTAGTAATGCAGTTTTCTCACCCTACCCATTAATTTTGTTCACATTCCTCTGGGGTTGATAGGGAGGTTCATTTTTCATGTCCATTCGATCTTTGGCTTCTTTCCTGAAATTGCCAACAAGGGTGCTAACATGTCCAAAAAGAATTGCACCAAGACCACCATTTATTTTACATAAGCCTTTACACAATCAAATGATAATGGTTTTTGCCTGATCCTGCAAAGACTTATGCGTGTGCTTGACTTCTTAGTTGGGACTTTGCAACACTGGGGCCTTACAGGAGTTGTACTAAATACCTAGACAGAAAGGCTCCTTATCTTGTCTGCACCCTGACCTAGGCTCCTTTCGTCCTAAAAAGGAAATTTTACACACAACTTCTTGTTTATCTCCATACAAATATGTGTTAGCCTCCAGTTAAAGTTGCTCAGGTACACATCCTACCAACACAATGAAAGCCAAGGAAGTCACAAGTTAAATACATTTCACGCCCACTTTTCAACATA